GATACCCATCATTATTTTCTTGCTTAACTAGTTATACAATGCGCATGCCAACTGAGATCTTTTGCATTCTTGTAGTCTTTCAGAGACTGACAGTGACTTAATTGTTACAAGATCAGCCTGTTACCTGATCGATGCTAGTTGTCTGCGTTCAATGGTGACGCAGACGTACTGTCACGAGGGACGCTACGAAAGTTTTGAGATACACAAAAACTACGAAATTTGAAATATTTTTGATAACTATATTTCCTCAGAACACTTGCCACGACATTCTATACATTTTTGCATTTTCGCAAATAAATTTTCAAACCGGTTTTCCACTCATTTTCCTAAAAGTTGTAAAAAGTGCTAAAAGTTCACTTTTGTAGACATTAACAGTTTCGTCAGTGCATGAGAATCTTATGTTAATTTTGTTGTATGTTAATGTCATGTTAATTTTGACTGTAGGGTACAGAAAATAATCACATGAGGCCAGGTAAGGATTGTAAGGTGGGCGAGTGTTAGTTTTAACCTCTGTTGACACCAAGAACTGAATTGTGTGGTTGGCCGTGTGAGCAGACGCATTGTCATTGGGGCAGGGCGATTCCCCGTAGCTCTCTTCGGTCGCCATTTTTGACGCTTGACGAAAACTGTTGGTGGATGTATTGTTGGGTACCACAGAGTAGAAACAGTTCTTAGTTCTTCCAGTGGAACAGTTGTGACATGAACAATTTTGGATAAGAATATCGGAACCATTTTCTTTCCAACGCTTCGTGGCCGCTTTACTTTTGTTGATGTTCGTCGGGAAAAATCCATACACTAGACTGGCACATATTTTCAGGATCAAACTGATAAATCCACGTTTCGTCGCCAGTAACTATGTTAGAAACGCGCCTTGAGATGTCTATTTCAAATCTCAATATTTCTTCACATTACTCACGGATGCGCTTCTGTGATTCTGTCAAAGTGTGAGGCACTCATCGAGATGCAACTTTCCTGACTCGATATTCGTGCAGGATTTTGGAAACTGTCGGCGATCCAATGTGGAGGTACCCTTCATTGTCCTTAAATGTCACACGATTATTTTTGCGCACCAATTTTTCTACAGCGACGATGTTTTCTTCTGCCGTCACGGGATGCCCGCTCCTATTCTCACCTTTCAACAACATTCTGCATCTTCCGAATTCTTGAAACTATCGAAAAATTGTTGTACAGGAAGGCTCAAGGACTCCGAAGGCACACTGTAAACGATCAAGGTTTTCGGGTTTGTTTAAACCACTTTTAAAGTCATAAAGAATCATTGGACGAAAGTGCTCTCTTGTAGGCTCAATTCTGACAACTGAATTCCGTGTCAACAAAAAGAAAAGTAGGCCTCATATCAACAGCGATAAGACGAGCAAGTTTCAACTTGCACGCAATAAAGGATACTGAGATCGATTCACATTCTTGGAAAGTTAATAATAGCCCGGAACAATATATCTCAAGTCTTCCGTAGCGACCTCCGCACGAGGGCAGAACTCTAAACATTAATACGTTAATATAACAAAATATAATCATTCATGTTAATGTATTATTTACCATTTGTACTGTATAATTCAAAGCAACCTGTAACAAGTATTGTACCTCAGTTTATGTGTCAACGACCCCTATCTCAGTCAGGTTTTTCGTCAAGTTTCCCTGCCCCTTTTAGCAAATGTTAAATGACCCCTTGTTTTGCTTCTGGCCATAAACGTAACTACATTATCTGTGAACGCCTTCTACAGTTCAGTAGGAATTTAAGCGGAAATTTCTCGAAAATTCTGTTCAAAAGGTATAGCGATAGTGTAAGGGCTGTCACGTCTCCACCTAACCCCATTAAACTGGCTGGTATAGGGACGGGCTTTCTTTCGATGCTACAGGGAAAATCCACGGATGTAGACACCTTTGTGATAAATTTGAGGAAGTCGCGGGAGCTTTACAAGTGGGGCGCTCGCGTCAGCCCACGTCAATGGACTTTTACAGACACGGCCTTCCCCGCGGAGGGCAAATGGCAAGAGTAGAGATTCGCATCGGCGAGACTCGAACAGGACCAATACAATTTTATGGCGGGGTCCTTTGTGTATAGAGAGACAGCCAGGCGTTGCAAATGAGGGCGGAGGCAAGTTGCGCAGGCGCTGCACGCGTTGCGATGGGCAACAGGAATGCCACCCATTGCAATATACACATTCACACCAACACGTATATACAGGGTTGGTCGATAAAACGTCTACTTTGAATATTCTCTCAACGGTTCAAGATATTGAGATGACCTTTTCGTCAAATGGTTCAGGACACAAGGACTTATAATTTGTACATATTAGCTCTTTGGCAGCATTTTTATTACAATGATATTCGAATAACTTCGTTTTTACGTGGAACCTAAACTAGTTTCCATACGGCTACATCTCGAGAAGACGAGCAGAAGTTATAGTTCGTAACGTCACGTAAATAGTGGGCAGTCGAATGACGGCCAGCTCAGTGGTCACGCCACAAGCCGCGCAGCTTGAGTCAATGACCCAACTCGATCAGGTTGCTCGTCCATTTCCCTGGTCCGTAGAGCGAATGCTAAGACGACCCGTCTTGCTCCCGGACGTAAATATAACTTCACTACCTGTGCAGGTCTTCTAGGTAATATATTTTTTCAAATGATCATTATATATGTTCTCGCGGCAGTAAGTCCATCTCTTCACGAAGGACACGATAAGGAATAATCGCCAAACTCTGTAGCTCTTTTCTTTTCCAAATAGTTTTTATTGCAAATATTTTATATCAATTTTTCTCAAAAAACGCTCGATTCCACCTGTATTCTAAAATCAATTTGCATATGGGTGCTGGTAAATATCCAATAATATCCTTCTTTCCATACTACTCCACACACTTTTTAAATGATTTTTGTCGTTAGGTAAATAAGCAGTGCAGCGCCATTAGCTACCATATCGGTCAAATTTTCCTATCAATAAACGTTTGGGCGAAGCCCAATATATAACAATAATGCAAGGTGATTAGTTCTCTTTTTCTCCAAAACAAAAATCAGTCGAAGTGGCAAGGAAATCACCGGCCTGTTCTCAGTAGTTACAAAAATTGTTATCATGCCCGTCCGTGTGGGCCCAAGTCGTTTCCCGAAAAGGGAAAATCTCAATCGATATGGGCGAACTCCCGGCCTTGTGAGATTCAAATGAATATTTCCATTCATTAAGTCTCAACTTTTAAATTTTCGTAAAAAGAGCTCCGTTTTTTCATTCAACATCTTTCACGGATAGCGCAAAAGGCGTTTAAGAATGGCACAGATATAATTTTGGTTGAAATGTATGAATTTTCGGAAGAAAATCGCAAAAGTTCAACATTTTCCCACAACTGCAACCTTTTCGGCAAAGACTGCATTTTCAAAACACGCAAATGTTCAACTTTTTAAGCGTCATTGTTGCGTTGGCTGTGATGCACGAGGAAATCATTGAGCGTAAATTGGCACCAAGCCGGATGACTAGGACCATTCGGACAGTCGCTCCAGAAGCAGCGGCAAGGCTGGCTTGGAGCTAAATTGCGCGGGTGATAGATATCGGTTTCTAAAAACAGAATTGTTACATTGCTTCCACATTTTATTTAAATTCGGAGCCTATCATCTACTGACAGTTATAAGCTCTCCTGCACACAAACTAGTGTAAGCTCGTGCGCATTCAAATATCACCTCTTGGAGGAGGGAAAAAAAAAAAAAAGAGCGGTATCATTCTACATTTAAAATACAGTACTTCTCAGTGACGTCACCAGAGTGCAGCACTGCCAGGACAAACGAGCGCTAGATACGTCACTTCGCTTGCTTTGTTGAAATACCAGCCAAGAGTAGTAGCTGGTCGCTGTATCGTGTTTTCATGGAGCAGAGAATTTTTCGCGTGATCAAGAACTATTAGCCATCATTCAAATATGATTTCAATGACTAATCTAAGCCAACCACGTAATGTACGCTCTTTGAATGCTATGCCCGATGGTAGGCGCCAGGTTAAACGTGGGCAGGCACCAGATGACGGGATCCACGCATAATAATAGCCCCTGAATACAACGCCAAAACATGTGACAATATCGTGTTTGCAAACAGTTGCAGGTCCCGTAAAAAGTTATTATATTCCAGGGACCAAAATATCTGGTTGCTGTAGGATACGCCAAATTTCATCTCTACGGCTCTCCCGAAAATGCTGATTTCGAAACCTTAGCAAGAATACTCTGCATATTTCCTATAACTAATTGATTGTCCGTCGGAGTTTGAAAATATGTTTGTTCGCACACAAAAACATTTCATTTTCTCATCATTACAACAACGTCCAATATCACAACAAACCCCTCTGACAATCATTCCTATTTTTCTGCAATACAAAAATGCCATGATGATTATGTGAGTGTTCAAAGAGTATTTGTGTCTCCCTTTGGGGATAAGTGTAATTACAATAGCAACTGTGGGAAGCACAAGAGGCTGCGATGCCCCTGAAGAAAAAGCGAAGAGTACAATCCACAGTACAACGATATACCCTCGAGCGCTGGTGTCTGTTGAATTTTCTTCTCTTGGTTACTGCAACACTACACTCACGGCTTTTTATCCAGGCTTCCTCACCGCACTTTAAGGAGTTTCCGTTTGTGCTGGGCAAAGATGCATGGGTTAAATCAACGCTTTTCCACACACGTCGCCTCTCGAGTGCTCGTATCTGTTGAATTTTCTTCTCCGAGTTAACGCGGCATGGCTTCGTGTCTGCTTCATCGCCGCAATCCAGAGTGTCTGCGCTTGTGTTGCGCGAGGTTGCTTGCGTAAATGAACGCCTTTCCACACAGGTCGCAGCGAAACGATCGCTCTCCCATGTGACTACGCTTGTGAACCGCTAGAGTGCTCTGGCGAGCGAACGCTTTTCCGCACACTTCGCAGCGAAACGGGCGCTCTCCCGTGTGCGTGCGCATGTGACCCACGAGACTCGTTTTCTGGCTAAACGCCATGCTGCACACTTTGCAGCTGAATGGGCGCTCACCTGTGTGCGTACGCTTGTGAACGTCAAGATTGCTCGAGTTAGCGAAAGCTGCTCCGCACACGCCGCAGATGTGCGGTCGATCTCTGGTGTTTGTGCGCTTGTAAGCGTCGAGGTCAGAAGACGAGCGGTCCACGTTCCTCAGCATCGGCTCATTTTCAGAACGCTCCTCCAGCTGTAGCTTCGCCTGCGCCAGGAACGAGTTGATGTCTTCAGAGTTGCGACTCCACAGCCGCATTGCACTTCGTTGCTGGGATGTCAGGTCGTTCTCCAGTGGCGTGTGCCCAGTCCCTGAACAGACACACAATGACTCTTAGCAACACAGACTGCGACCATAGTACTTCTTTAATACGGATGGACGGACTGCCGGACGGACAGCCAGAGGGATCGACTGCCAGAGGATCAACTGTCAGAGGGACGGACCGCCAGATGAACGGAAATCCAGGCACAAATCCAGATTTGCTCCACCAGCAGATACTTTCTCGCGTTATTGGAAACAGCTACATAATATTGAAACATTGCGATTTCTTCCCTGCCAATACCTTAGCCGTTTCTTGAATGCTTTTAAAAATATACTTTTGTGACCTAAAAATCATAAAATATGAACTTTAATATATAATTAAAATTAACAATATTTCATTTCTGGAAGAAACTTTTCTTGATGAAATGAAAAGAAAAGATATATTTTGAATTATGCTTGACATGAAAAGATATATTTTTGTGCAAACAGAATATACTCTATTTTATTTCACTGGAGAAAGAATTATAGTAAATAGGCACCTAAGTAAAGTACATTATGTCTTGTTGCATTTCTTCTGCCTGGATGCCAATGCTAAGTATTTTAACATCAACAAAAAAATCAACAGTGATAAACTCTTTGTAATCAACTTAATTAACTTACAATTAAATTAACTTACAAATAGATCTAATAAAAATTTGAAATATTTTAAGAGAAGTCTCTATTTTAAAGACATATGCAAAATATGCCCCTATAATTACACAAATATGCACCAATAGGCAAAATCAGTCAAATATGAAGATATTAATCTACCTCCAATTCTAACCAAATGTCAAGAAATTTCACTTAGCTATGCCCTGATGCAATATACAAAAATATGCAAAATTATAGTAATCATTTCACTTAGCTATGCCCTGAAGCAATGCAAAAAGTACGCAAAGTTATAGAAATCAGCTTCCTACTATTTAAATGACTAGTTCCACAATTTGTAACATTGAGTTACTTTATTACTACCTTATTATATACTGACGCCACCCCAAACGAAGCGAGTGAAAATTAACTTTTAAAGTTTAAAATAATGTGATTCAGTATTTTTACTTAAACATTTTTTATGTAATAGTGTCTGAAGCCAAACTCATCTAATACAAGAAACATTTAAATAATAAAAACAACCGTTTAACGTTCTACAGCGGAAAAACAGCAACGTGTTTATAACGTCAAAATATAAAGTAAATCTTTAAGTTTTGGAAACTCTTGTATAATTTTCAACTCTCAAAATATTTACCCAAAAAGTGAACCTAATTTTTATTTTAACGAATGAATAATCGACGATCTACTGAAATTACTTAAACTCGCTGAAATGTTGAGTGAAAAAGTCTATAATATGGAATGTATTGCTGGTAAAATGCTGAAATATGCATAGATAAGTGACCTTCCATTCGGTGAAAATAGGTATCAAAACATTCGTAAAAAAATGTTAATGTGTAAAGACAAAATTAACTCGGGGACTGACGCGGTGGCTCAGAGCGAAGTCGCGCGCCTTTCACCCCGGACAATCTCATGTGAAATTTATTAAAAACAAAACTCGTTTATCTGCTTCTCAAGGGCTAGTCCAACCCCTGTGAAATGTCCTAAACTCAACCCTATCCTAAGCCCTTCCCCATTCTGGCCGCTGGCTGGTGACGCAGGAGCGCGTAGTAGGAAGCGCGTACGCAGAGATGCTACCTGGCGGTCCTTTTGACACTGATGGCAACGAGACGTGACATTAAATTACAAATAGTTACTCCTATAAATAGCGCGATTATTAATGGAGGATTTCACCCAAGCCCAAAGCGCTCAACTCCCCCGGGCCTTGGAGACGCTGTGCGTCAATTCAGATACAACAAATTAAAAACAACAACAACTGGAAATAAAACAGCTTTATCTTATCGTTGCATCTCGCCATTCAACAATGAGTTTCGCAACTATCCATTGCGGCATCAATACATTGAAAACAAAAATTGGAGAATAGAGCAGATATAGAATTAATATTGGCATTTTCAATAGTAAATTATAATTTTAATTAATTAATATTATAAATAAAATTAATATTTAATTTTATTTATAATTTAAATTAATAATAATAAAATAATATTTAATATTTAAATAATTAATTCCTGTTCTCCAAGGATTTTTCTCGTGCACCTTACTTGCTGGGACTCCTGTATATATTTCATTAATTTCAAATAGAAATTTCTAGAAAACTAATATTTTTTTCAAACAAATGTACATGCCTTATTTTAGTGATTTTAATGATCTGATTTTTTAAAAAAAAATTGTTTAACACAATTAATTAATTTGTTTAAGACAATTAAACAAATTTTGTTTAAAGCAAAAATCTCTATCTCTATCAGTAGTTTCAATCCCTACAGTGAACAAACTATCTGAACCTCAGACATATGGAACTAGAAGACTTTCATCAATTCTCTCACACTGTAGATGTCTTCCTTGACATCAAAAAAGCCATCAACTTAGTATGACACCATAGCTTATTACTCACAATTCAAAACCCCAACTTCCCACAGCATCTTATTCTCCTCATTAAAAGCTTCCTTACTAACAGGTCGTTCTCCCAACAATTATCAGGGAAGCTTTCCGTCCTGCTTCTTTCCTGGAAGGTTTATCTCAAGACTCCAACATAGCTCCCACAGTCTTTAATATCTTTTCGAACAATGTACTGACCACTCCAAATACTTCTCTTGCATTCTGTGTTGGTGACAAGTCATTCGTATACTCAACGAAGTATTGGATGATGGAACTCTTGATGTTCACACTCTCCTGGATCAAATCCCTGATTGGAATAGCAAATGGAGAATAAAAATCAAACCTGCAAAATACAAGCCAAACTCTCCTCCTATACAAATTCTTGTTACTCTTCCATTAGCACAGCACTCCATAACCATTCCAAAAAACTCATGGTTACCATCCAACACGTCAGTCAAATCCCTCACATTTGATCAAATATCTCACATCCAACATACATTTCACTTTGTTAGACAAACTCTTCCTAATTTTATCATCTCCCCTCCAAAACCATATCTCTACAAAGCTATGATCAGACACATGCTCACTGATGCATGTCCAATCTCAAGTTCAGTAGTCAAATCTCACATTCAAACACTTCCGACCTTACAAAATCGTTTTCAAAGGACCATTACCAAAGCACCGTGGTTCAGATCTCTGGTAATGATCTTCCAACATGAGCTCGTATTATCCCTATTTCTTCTCACATTAAAACAATCTGTCCATACGTTTTTTCACAAAATCCTCACAATTCCTACTATGAATACAAAACCCAAACATTGTATGAATCTGTAGAAAACTATATGGAAATTGTTTTTGACCCACCTTAATTCTCACACATCTCACTCCTTAAAATAATTCTCAGTTTGACACTCTTCTAAAACTCTGTATACATTAAATTCAAACCCCTTGAAAAAAGGCTATACACCAGCAAGCAAATATATTTTGAAAAAATTAAAAGCATCTGAAAAAATTGTTTCTTAAATCCAGGGGGGGAAGATGCATGAATCAGAGGAATTTCTATCTCCTTTGAAAAAATTACTCAACAGTTCAAGAGCAAGGATTTTTGAAAGAGAGAAAAAATACAAATAGCTAAGGGAACACATAAACAAACTTTCTTGAAAAATAAATTTTTTTGGTGCTGAAGGTTACTAAAATAGGAATTTCCATCAAAATCTCACTTTTGCTAATTTACATACTTTCTCTAAACTGTGTTTACAAACTAAGAGTGAACAGAATCAATACCAATATTATAACTTGTTAAATATAATTTTTAACACGAATTAACCCATTTCTTCCCAAACAGTGAAATACTTAATTTATTGAACACATTTTAGTTATATCTTGATAGTAGGGAGTATCCAAAGATAGCAAATCTAGTTTGCTAAAAATACATTGATTCTTGGTTGAAGCTGGATGGTACGTTGTGTATATGCAATGTTGGGAGTTTTCCGGAAAGGACGTGTACTAACCACTTTTTAACTAATGTTGGTATTTTGACCATTAATATCAAGTAATTTTAATGATGTGCAAACAGAATTTAAATTTAAGCACGAAGGTGTAAAAACCAAATTGAATTTAAATGTATTTGACATTTTTTAGTTTTTCAAAATTCTTACAAACATTACGTTGTCTACCTGCATTGTCACCACTAATTTATAAAAACAACTTTGACCTTTTGTCTTTCTCTCATTCTCTACTTACTCTAATACTCTAATTTCAATTTGAGTACCAGATGGCAAATTGCAATTTCGGAATCTATATTTTATTAATAGTCCTTCTCGCTTATAAGGAGAGAGAGTACTAGTTTGGACTTGGAAATCAAAACATTTTAGAGTATTTTCTGTTGTTAGAATATAAATATTCCTTGCTTAGCGGAATCTCTAACAAATCAAAATCTCATTATGCCTGTCTATCACGTTATCATACACAACTTTTGTTTTGAAATAATTTTTTGGGTTCGAAGCGAATGGTCTCATTCCCTTTTTTCTTAGAATTCTATTTGAATAGAAATTCTATTTGAGTAGAATTCCGGTTCTGATAAATGACAAAATAGTGTATGTAAATGACAACGATAATAAATATACAATGATAAATAACAAAATAGATGAAGTGGTTTCAAAAAAAAATTTGTTTTTCCCCACATCATTAATAGGCACCACATCGTAAAACTAAACCTCTCATAATATCACACATGTTTTTGCTAAGTGTCGCCCCAAGTATGAAACTATTGCTAATTAGTACTGATAAATTTTGTCTGGACTCAATTTTGCAGATTTCTATTCTTTACCTAAGGTGTTACTCACCAAAATGTGTAGATATCTATTTATTTTTTTAAACTCATTTCAAAACTTTCTTTCACAATTGGTTTCTTTGAAAGACTGCACAAACTGTTTGATATAAAAAGACATGACTATACCATGCCTTGTTTTAGAGCCGAGAAAACTACAGAGAATGTGCCCTTTGGCATATCTGTCAACGGAACAATCCAAAAAAGAGCATATTCTACCTAACATTATATCTCTTTTGAAATACTAAGCTCCTATGAACCGTTCGTCAAGGCGCCATAATGAAATTTGGCCATTCCCAAATCTGCCGGGAAACTCACAACGTTGCATAAAACCAACACAATATTTGTCTACAAAAATTGCTTCAAAAATCACATTCTACTCAAACATGACACGCTTTAATTTGTACACATATTTTGCAATGTGATAACAAAAATTCACATTGATGACAAACTTCAAGATCAAGACAGATATTGTAGAGGCGTGAAAATTAGGCACATGCCTTCATGAAGAAAAAATTTAAAAAGTGTATTTATATAATATATATTTATCAAATATAAATAGTTGTAATGTCATTATGGATTGTCTTTACTGTCCAAATATTACAAATATTTTCAACAAATGGTATGAATAAAATAAAATAGCAAACATTGCAACATTGGGAAGAAATGGGTTAAATAATTTCCCAAGATGCATCAATTGAAATGAAAGAATATTTTTCTACTTACTTGAGTAGATACCACGATTTGCAGGTTCAGTTCTTTCATCTATTTCATATGAGTCATCCATGGATTCTTCCCTCCCTGTATCTTCCAAATGCTCAGTTTTTGGAACCAAAATCACAGGCAGCAATGGTCCATTGTCCCTGGTAACATCTTGGTCACAACTCAATTTCATTATTTGCTGTTGTGAAGGTCGCTTCTGTGACGAGTCCATATTTCCTTGAGACGATTCATTGCAACCTTGAAACAAACACCGATGATTACATGAAAGTCATTTCCTCACGTCTCTAAGATTCTCTACTTTTGAAAGAAAAATAATATAATTCATTTTTAAATAGAAACTATACACCTAATTTAAAATATACATGCATACATAAAAACATACATATAAATACATATGGTGATATTCTTCTGACTCAAAAATTGATATATTATTTTCATTATGTTCATAACACAATTTAATATTAATTGTAAGGCAGTTTTTTCTTTCTTCAAAAATGATTTGAAGATAACAGATCAAAAGTTACACACTAAATGACATGTTGATTAATACATGTCACCTCAGAGTCAACTTTGAATTAAATTATAATATCATCCCTTCATCAATTTATTGCACACACACTCAAAAGGCATACACGCTCCTTCTTTGTCATGTTCATAATTTAACAAATGCAAGTTTTCAAAGTAACTAATTTGCAAAGGTTTATTTGTAAAATTAATGAACATGTTAAAGGTGTGCATGCTATTTATTAAGAGCTCTCTCTATACACTGATGGTAGGATAAAGTTTACAAAATAATTGGTATACTCATTACTACAACAGGTTAGAACCAAATGAATTTTTCACTCTTAGGGTTATAATATCATTGATTTAATAGTGAAAATATCTCCATTATGGAATCTATCCTCTAACAGTTAGCCCCTCAACTTTCAACATTTATGAATTGAAATGTAGGAAAGTTTCTGTTAACATATGGGATTTCATCCATTAGAATATCAAATAATCAACTTAATTTTAAATAGATTTCAAGATTCTGCCTATTCCTAATCACCTGCACGAGAGATGAGGGTATCATTTTAAAGTAAACCATGAAGAATACAAAACTAAGTTTGAAAATATTCAATTTGTAGATTACTCTTTGAGAAACAATTTAGATACATGTCCACTGCATATTCTCCAAGATTACACAAGACATTCTTTCTTATATTATTCAAAATGATTTTGTAATATTGTTATTTTGCACCTTCTCCCATACAGTCCTCACTTGAAATATGCACCCAATATATTAGCACAAACATAACTTACTTATATTTTGAAAAAAATGTACATGATATGAAGATCTAATATTAGAAAAGAGATTGAATTAAAAAGGAAATCTCTAACTTGGTATCTTGGGATCAGGACAGGTTTGATCAATTTGAACCTGTCAACTTATAATACTAAAGTAGACAAAAACTACTTATATTTTTAAAGAAGTTATTACAAAATAATTCAAGAATATTTTATTAAAGAATGGACTGCATTATATAAGTTCTTGCTTCTATTGAAGGTCATTACTTCACTCAAAACTACATAACTACTCAGATTTTTAAAAAATTGCATATTACATTTATTGAAGATCTAATTTTGAAGAATAGTGTCTCTCTCTACACAAGATTGTAGTTGTAGGAGTGGGGTGCCAGCAAATTTTAACTTGTGCAATTTTCAAAGATTCAGAGATTTGAAAGAAAATCAGACGTGTGGCATTTGTATAGGTTTATAATGTATAAATCAAATTGTTTGGTGATAATCATCACCTTAACTAGAAACAAAGTTTTCCACAAATATAAAATACTTTCTTTTTCAAAACAAATCAATTTAGAAAAGGGATGAAATAGAATTGAATTTCATAATAAAAATGCACAAATTCAATATTCATATGAAAATGTATATATTTAGCAGAACCTCAAAATTTTAGATATGATGAACTGAGATTCTCTGCAGAAAGCCATAGCTGGTGAATTCAATGTTGGACAAACAAATATTTATGACATCTCAAAGAAAGACGTTGTTATTCAAAAGTACGCATCCCAAATGAAGAGTATTTTTGAGAAACGGAAGGTTATGCACAAGAGAGAGACAGAAGAACTTCTTGTAGCTGTTTACAGATGGTTCAGTAAGGGAATTCCAGTCAGTGGCTTGATAATAAAGGAAAAAGGTGTTGCATTTAACAAACAACTTGGCAAAAGGTTTCAAAGCATGGCTTGCTGTACAGGCCTTGAAGCAGGAATACTTCGAGAAAATATAAAGGTAAAAACCTGTTTTCTCTTCTTTAAACTCACTTTTCCAGAAACTTTTGGAGTGGCCCTCGGATACCAAATGCCCCTGTCAATACTTATGTGCCAGATTTGGTGAACATATGCTAACATGTACAGCAACTATTCCAATAGTCTTAATTCAGCCTAATGATTTATTAAATTTTAACATTATTTTTTTGTAATAAATATCAAAGCTTGTAAAATAAATTAATATTATCATATAATATATTCTTATCAAGAATATATGGAACACTCACCTGACAGAGGTGCATGCCTGGCTGACATCTCCACAGTTTGTACCATAAGTACAAAATTATCTTGCTAGAAAGCACTTATGCACTTATTGCTAGTGTGAGGAATAGTCAATGTTCCAAATATGGCACATAAGTACCCAGAGGACATACAAAATAAAATGTTACCAACTAAGGGCTTACTACACGCTAAAGTCCTTGTTCACCATAATCGCCAAAGTCCACATTCACCATAAAAGGGTACATGGGTACTGAAAGGATTCATACACTTTTGGAAAATTGTAAATAATATAAGCATTATTAGTCTACATACTTGGGAACTGGTTCAAATGCTTGTCAACAAACACTGAAGAAGCTTCTCCATCAATTTCACTTGCAAATGTTCTAAACGTGGGTTCATTACTATTAATATTATCAAAAATTTCATTTCTAGTTTCAGAAAACTCCTCAAATACAGGTTCACATTTCATTATTATTTCTGGATCAACAGGAACCTCACTACATCCCAGGGCTCTTGGATGTTCTTGTGCAGGCCGCTCATCCCCAAAAGGGGCACTATAACCTTGAAAGGGAACTGAAGACTTTGAGTGCTCAACATCTATGGAACAGCGAGGATGGTTCTGAGAAAAATTTCCAGGATTCTCCTCGTGGCCATCATGGACAGATTCAACTTCACAGATATCTTGTTTGTCTCCAGAGGGACCTTGGAAGTCATTCTCAGTAGTTTTGCACGTGAGTTTCTTACTCTTCTGAAAGAATCAAAACACACATTATAAGCTAAGGTTTTGAAAACTAGCAGTAAAAAATATTAAATGTAGCATTGCTTTACATACATAATTCTTGGAAAAAGCATTTAGACCCTTTATCTGCAGGGACTGGGCAAGAGCCAGAAAGGCTTTCAAGTTCCCTTCTGCAATTTGGGTCTCTCCTCGGTACACAAAATCAATAACTGCCTTGAGTGTTTCAAATGACGCGTCAACAAGGATGACAAATGGATGTTTCCCAATCTCCTCACAAAACAGCATCTACAAAAAATTATACAGAAGAGAACATATTGAAAAGACTTTAGCTATTTGCACACATCATGTAATTAAGAACAGATTGTGCCATTGATAGACAAGATACTCTGGGTTTACATAACATTTTACCGCTCATTTCAGAGTATACTCCACCCAAATAAATATTAATAAAATTAATTAAATAATATATCCCATCACATCTTCTTTACCTCAACTTATCCTTCATGGGCTTCATTTGTAAGTTCATAGGGCGGGAATGACGTACCATTCATTAGCAACTGTGATTACAAGTGTTTGCCACAATAATCTTATTGTTGTCAAGACCATAATATTTATTTTAATAAATAATAGAATTGTTCACATTTCTGGTTTACTTTGCTGAGACACTGGGGCATATTTCAGTATATAACGGAAATCACAAATCTCCATAACAACAACAAATAATAAATTGTATTAATGAGTTTGTCATAATTATTCATAATTATTAATAGTATATCAGAATGATTGGGATAACTGTATCATTAAATGTCTTTAATGCCTTGGAGTGTTCAAAAATTGTTACCTTCTGAAGCAACTGTGGCCAGTGTACACTACACTGCAATTGAAGATTGAGATGCTCTACACCTGTGGTGTTTGCAATTCAGGGGTTACTAGTGGCTTCATTACTAATGGCTTCATTTTTGGCAGCCCGCAAACACTCATTTTGTTAATATTAAATTGAAGAACATTACCAAACTTCAGTTGTTCATCAACATTGCAAAGTAAAAGATAAAATATGAAACACACACTTGTGAGCCCAAAAATATTGAGTAATAGCTGCAGTTATAGTAATAAAAATATTTGTGTTCTGTAAGAATCTTATTATTTTGCTATCAATAAATCGATGTGGAATATTTGTTTCACCAAAAAAAAAAAACGACCCTTTGGTTAAAAGAAATTGAAAACCACTGTTGTCCATCATTCTCATTGCCCTACAACAGAAGTTTGGCAAAATGACGGAGACAAATCGAACCTAGATCGAATAGGAAATTATTGGCTATTTGTCACTCTTAGAGGCAAATACTAATTAAAAAAAAAAACATCCAAGAAACATTTAATGTCACTACTGGGCAAAACAAACACAAAGAAACTTTTTTTCATAATAAATATCTTCACATACCTGAAAGTAAGGACTGCATGCAGATAAAATAAGCCTGTGAGCTTTTAGACTCTGACCCTCAGCAGATATAGTGCAATCAACCAAAAAATTGTTCTCTAATAAACTGTGATATCCTGTTGCAAGTTCACTAGTGTGATCTTTCCAAGTCACTGATAGGGTTGTATCAGCCATGTCCAAATTGGCCTGAAAAAAGTCAATATTCACAATAATATATATATATATATATATATATATATATATATATATATATATATATATATATATATATAACAAAGAAGGTGCGGAATAGTGAAGAACAATAGATTTTTAAAAAACCAAAGTTTGTGCCAGCCTAAGAGAATGACATACACTCACATCATTTTCAAATGATGAAATGATGCTGTGATTTGTGATTTTTACAAACTGGATAATTATAATACTCTAAATACCTATTCATTTGGACTCATTAAGTCTTTTTCTTGCAAGAGAGAGTATTTAAAAGGCAGAATCAATGTTGGAGAAACAAGAACAATTGTTGTAAACACCAAAAAATTTGATGAGATATTAATTTTTTTTTCACATTATTTACACAAAATTGCCTTGATATGTATAAAAAGGTACTCTAGGAAGATTTTACTGGTTCATTGGATCCATGGGTTCTGTTTTATTTTATGAAAGTTCAATTAAAAACCTTAATATCTCTGAATTAGGTCAATGTGGTAGCCCTATTGTACTACTGAGCTCCTCAATTTTTTGTCCCTTTGCTCAAATACTTAAACATTTTACCTAATGTAACTATTTAAATTTAATAGGATTTAAAATTAAAAATATCTGATTTTTTATGTAAAAAAAAAATCATGATTTTTACTAACCCTGAAACCATTGCATTGTACAAATACCCCCTGTCCTGGAGCAAACAATGCTCTAGGGAAACAGAAACACTAATAACATTGAACTCCACAACCAAAATAATGTTGTGCACAACCCACAGGAAGTAGCAAACACATTCAATAGACATTTCTCAGAAACTTAAGAAAAATTGCACCAAACTGCAAACTCCAAAATTTATCTGTGAAACATCAACTGCAGAAATACAAAACAAAATCATAATTCAAATGGAAAACAAGTTCTCTACAGGACTGGATAATATCCAAAAAAGCTCATTACACATACAACAAACATAACAGAGCTGCTAACTCACATTTGTAACCACTCCTTAATAACTGAGAGAGAAAAAGAAGAAATTCTCAAAAAAGCAAAAGTTAAACCACTAATCAAAAAAGGCAACACTCATGATCTCATGAATTACAGGCCAATATTCTTATAACCTGTATTTTCAAAAATTCAAAAAAGGTTTTTAATTAAAGACTGAAAATGTTTCTCAATTCTAATTACATGACACTGACAGAGGCATAACATGGATTCAGAAATGGTATATCTACAAACACAGTTATCTTCACCTTTCTAAATGATATACTTGTTGCTCTAGATCAGAAAGAAATCCCCATTAGTTTGTTTCTAGATTTATCAAAAGCATTCAACATTATTGACCATCACATACTGTTATCCAAACTTGAAACTGGAAACTACAGGCATTGCACATTAATGGGTTAATTCTTACCTTTCAAACCATTGTCAGGTAGTCGCAATCAAGCATGTTAGAGATATAAAGATTTCAACCCATTTTTCCCAACTTAGAATGATAAATTATGGGGTGCCACAAGGATCAATCCTAGACCCTATATTTCTCTTATACATCAAAACATGCCCCTGACTCTACAAAAGAGCAAAATGGTCCTATTTGCAGATGACACAAACATTATTATTAAAGCAAATACCCGGGAAGAAGTACAAACGGTCCTTGAGGCACTAGTACAATAGTTCCAGGAAAATAAACTCATCATATATACCAATAAAACTGTCTCCCTAAACTTTCGGAATCCACTATCTAAATAAAAAGCCTCCAACACAATTGATGATTAAAAGCATGCCTGTAAAAATAGCCCCCAAAACAACTTTCCTTGGATTGACTATTGAAGATGATCTCAAATGGAATTCCCACATCACAGACCTAAACAACAAGACATGTTACGCCATCTACATCCTTAAGTCAAATTCTAACTTAAGATATGCTCTCAATAATGTCCTTTGCAAATGTTCACTCGTACTTAAAATACGGAATCATATACTGGGGAAATTCCCCAGAAAGTATTCACACTTTCATCACCCAAAAACAAATATTGGGAACAATGACACTCACAAACATGAGTACTGCAAACCACTGTTCAAAAAATTGCAAATCCTACCACTCTCATGCATGTACAATTTGGAATATTAATATTCACAAAGAAGACACTTATGGGAAACAAGGATTCTGTTACTCTAAACACATTTCATAACTATGATACTAGGCAAAAAAGATCTCTATGTCCCACACACTGAAATTTCACTCTTTCAAAAAGGAGCCTTTTAGAAGGAATTACACTATATAACAAACCCCCTAGTGAATTTAAAAGCTTGAACTCTATACAACATTCACAAATAAATTTCAAAGCTTTCCTGTTAAACTATACTTTCTACAGTACAAAGGCATATAAACATCATAAACACATATCTACATCAATAAAAACCAGTACTAATAATTTTTGCATATTCTGTTGCACGTTTTGAAACCACCAAATTGATTGTTGGATATAAACAACCCAACCCAGGCATCAATATCATATGAAGACTTTTTTAATTTCCTATTATAATTGTTTTTCAATTTTAGTCTTCTTACACTAAAAAAAAGATGATACAAAATAACAATTCTAAAGAAAAGAGTGGTTAAAATTTAGTATATGGTACACCCTTAAAGAAGCATGGCAGCAGGACTTAAACCCTAATAACTGCATGTGCTCTAATAGAAATGAATAAAACTTACGGATAGGCGATTTTCATGGTTCGCCCTTGATACGCTTTGGCCCCGCATTGTAACACCAATTTACTTTCAAAGGAAAGTTTTCTCGCTTCGCTCGTCTGTATCCAAGTCATGGCAAGGCTCGGGCCGTCAGCCCTCGCGTTCACTATAAACATCCTTGAGTCTATCCAACACATAATTACCAATTCACTTTTACAAGACATCACTTTTCAAGAAAGCCTCCAGAATTCTAACTGCCTAGTTAACGCCAGAGCGGCGCAAAGTGCTGGTTAAAACGACTTCCTTAGGTTGTACCGTATACTACATTTCAGCTGAAAGAGTTATTATGTTAAAAATGCCCTAGACACTTTATTATTTATATTCTTCATGAATAAGCAATAGAAAAAAATAAAATTTTGTTGACAAAACCTACATAACTTGTAACATTTTGACCCTTGACTTGACATATTTTCATTACCTTAGCTAATTTATAGGGAATTCCATAAGAAATGCCCATATTTTGTACCATCATCAGCGTTCTTGACAATTCATATATTGAATTTCATTATGGTGTATGTAATATAGTGTAATTCCTTCTTCAAAGAGTGAAGTTTCACTGTTAGGGATATGCAGATCTTTTTTGTCTAGTGTCATAGTTATGAATTGATTAATAAATATTGAAAGACATCTTATCACAATATGAGATTGGAGAATCATCAAGCAGACCATTTGGATTAGTTTGATAACCAATCCACTTTGTAAAAATTTCAGTGGACTATAAATTTTGTTCAAACTTCATAATTTCTTCTGCAAAAGATAACAAACTGATATTGATTGTAATATTAGAACTAAGTTAGAATATTAGATCCATGAATTATAATATTAGAGTGATAGATTATTAGAACATCAGTGTGTTTTAATACTTCTTACATTAGGAAACTGATCATAGATATTAATAACAAGCCAAAGATTATTAGGAAATTTCGGTTCTAATAACTCTTTGTACAACACTGATTTCAGTTTCATAAAAACTGATTTTTGGTTTTAGATGTGGATCTCAATCTTCAGACTACCATTAAGATTTATGTTCTTTAGATTTTACTGTCCAAATTTATTTTATACAAAATACAGATGTCCAAAAACAAATTAATTAGAAACCATAATTAGAGTAAACATTTATTAAAATGCTTTGTAAATTATAAAACTTTTTACATTTCTCAACATTACAAGCAGCACTTTTCCTCTACATTGGTGGTTTTCAATATTTTTATGACTCTAAAATAAATCTGGACAGAAAACCTAAGGATTTTTTTCCTCTTTGCAATTAATTATAATACTGACAATACAAACCTAAAAAAGTATTCAGTCAGAAACACATAAAAGTAATATCACGTATTAGTTTCGCATAGCATGCGAGCAACACTTCGGGTCTGCATTCAACTGCCATTTATTTAGAATATCAAGTAGTGATGGCATCCAGATCATCAACTCGTAGAAAGTTTATTTTGTTTTTTTATATATTATAAACCAGGGTCCTGTAACTTCCACATACAACGTAGTGGAGACCATGGTGAACAGCACGCGAATAGTAAACAAGGATTCAGTTCAGGGAGTCGATTCCCCTCCAGTGAATCGAATCAGTGAACCAAATGAACCGGTGGCGCCCTACTCTGGGTCTGGATATACCCAAATTGTTTGCATTTTTAGAATAGATACACCAAAATACACTCTCGTTAGTGTATGATGAAATGTGATTAATTTACTTTGCTTAGGTGTACAAGACACGTTTCTATTCTGGAGGTGATATTCGAGCTGCGGTATGTTTTGAGTAGATAATTGGCAAGATATAAACGAATTTGACTTCACCAACAGTGTTTCTTACCAGCCCAGCCCTCTTATCTTCTCAAAGAACATTCCAAGAAAATCCTATAACAAAGTATGCCAGTGAAATATGTTTCCCTTGAAGCTGCAAGCACTGCTAGTCTCAATGATATTGTAGACAAATATATTATTTCAGCAACATATATATCTAATAATAATTGCCTTGTTTACAAAAACGTGCCTAACAAGCATGGGAAATTTATTAATAAATAATCTAACCAATTTTGAATGTGAACAATAAATCCTGTAATAATATTAACGATAGTTACAGATTACAAATCTAATCCAATTTTACTACATATACTGTCAAAGTTCTGCTATCTAAAACAATTCAGTATTGTTCTGCCCATTGTAGGTTTCAATGAGGATAGTTTGTGAGTAGAGTTTGTGGAAATATAGTCATGATGTGCAGTAACCAATCAGATTGCTTTAGAAAATGAAAAATCTTATATTGCTGCCTTAAGAGAAGAAATCTGTGCCAATTGTTTATTTTATTTTAAAGTTAAGAATATTCCCAACCCAAAAGAAGATTGCCTAAAAATTCGGGGAAAAATGCCAAATTAAAATTGTTATATCTTCCACAAATTTTCATATCATAAAAGACGTTTATGAACAATGCAAATTCCCTCTTTAATCTTAGAACACTAAGCATACTTACTGGTATGTTATTTCTAACTACAAGGTGAATTGACTTGCCCAACATAAAACTAGTGTAATTTATACATTTGTTTCATTTTCCTCGGTTTTAAGACTTACACAAAATAGTCACTGAACCAACAAATCATATTGTATCAAAATTACAATTCTATTTTTGGCTAAAAAATCTCACCAAGATTGTTGGAATTATGGACAGCTTGCACTTCAGTCTGTCGACACAGATCTATCCCTGATTACAGGCGAATTCTGGGGGATTACAACTCGTGACGCAGAACACTCAGTTAGCACACACCAAGCCACAAGCGTTCTCCTCGACAGTCCCAGACAGTACTGCTCGAGTCAAAGAGTACACAGGTCCGACTGTCGATTGCTCGGCATATTGATAGGCACTCTCCTGCTGGAATTGTTTCGCTCTGTTGATAATTCGAACAAAAATTAAGACTGGTATGATTTCAATCATGTGATAATTTTTTAAAAAATCAATGATTTAAGATAATATTTATTATTTGCAATATGTGAAAATATTTGAAAAAGTTATACAGATAAAGACAACTTAATTACACAGTTTATATAAAGATTATATTATATTATAAACTTTTTCACATAATTGAACAATTTCAAGAAAAAAAATTCAATGTAGTATACGTTAAAACGAACATGCTTATGAAATGAACAATATATCATATAATTAATTAACATTGTCTTGAAAGAAACTCTGGGAAATAATGCATAAAAGAGGATTCCCAGCCCACCTGATAGGAGTAATACAAAGTCTCAACTTCGACACTAAAATATGCATTGAAATATCTCCACTAGGAAAACAAAATCAATGGGCTTTGAAGGAACAAACCACATTAGATGTAAAATTATAATTAATAATGAACCGATAGAACAGACAAATAATTTCACCAACCTAGGCTTCAATGTGTCTTACTGTCAGAAAAATGACATAAGCCAGAAATTAAATAGATTCTATAATATGTGTGGGACAATAAAAAGAACATTAAAAAATAAGACTAAAAACCACGCAACTCAAGTTTTACAAAGGAATGGCAGTACCTACGCTAATTCATGCATGCGAAAACTGGACTATAAATAGAGCTAAGAGAAGGAAAATACCTCCTACGTTCAGTAGCAGGTTACAATATTTTAGATAGACAATATAATGATGACATCTGAACCGAACTGAATATATTTAATCTGATGGACAGAATCCAATCATTAAGGAGAAACCGGCATGATCATATTCAATGCAAGCCTCCAAACAGAATTCCCATAATAATATATCAGTACAATCCTAAAAGAAGAAGAAATGTTGGCCGCCCACTAACAAGATGGAAAGACTCACTCTCTTGATGTGGAAACAGGTCTTAAGGCCTAACTCCACGAAGCAGAAGAAGAAGAACATTGTCTTGAGTCCATATTTATTAGAATGTGTTCCAATACATTCATTGTAAGACAATCAATATGTAAATATTTCTAATTTTTAAAGTCTTATTTTCCATTAATTAAATTAAAATCATATCATAAATGAGTGAAAACTCATTTACTAATCACTGAGTGAAGTAATTGCAGTTTTGTTTCTTCATCATGAATTGAATTCTTCTGTTAGTTTAGTATAATGATAATTTTCAACATACTAATGTATTATCATTACACTACATATAAACACAACAACGATATACTATTTTATTTATGAACATGTCTATAAATTAATGTCTAAAAAACATGTCTATAATTAAGACAAAACCAAAATTAGCATTGAAATTCATCTACAGCAGGATAAGGGGCATGTTCCTGTTTAAGCTGACAAGTATCATAAGAATAATATTAATATTCTAGAAGTTTCCTGCATTTTCACCAGTTTCCTTTATTACTCTGTCCCAATGGTTTGTGTATTGGAGGAGCCTTTAGGAATCTTTCTTGTCTGTTAATAAATTCCAGCCCTTCCCTTTCCTATTCAACTCTCTTTGTTGTTTCTTTGTGGATACAATTCATAAAGAAATCCAAAATAATGATGTTCCAAGGTCAGGATGTAAGAGAAGTGAAGATTTTAATTTAAACAAATTGACATTTATACCATTTTTTTCCATATTTCATCTATGTATTCAAGTTAAATATTCATTAAAAATTGTTATATGTAACGAAGAAATTATTTAATGGTTTACAGATCCCCATTTATTGGGCAGATTGTAAATTTTTACTATAAAAAATATCTCTTCTACAGAAGTGAGATTCTGTCTCACCAATTGTATCAAAGTGTGCATATTTGATTAATTTTATTAGTACATACAATTTTATTAACTTTTGTATTTCATACATAATTTACCAATTAATTCTTGGTGATTAAAATTTTTCAACCATCGTTCACCCATCTGTTGATTATTGGGGAGCTCATGAAAGGGCATCCTCCCAAAGGTTTAGCACCCTCTTATGGAACATTTATCCATCTCCTGCATATGATACAATTAATTCTTTGTAGTAAATCATAAGAAAAGCAGATAGTACTCATGGATATTCCCTACAGGCACCACAACCAGCACACTTTCGCACAACTTTACTTTGAAAATGCGTGCCTAAACGCAACAGCTGTACTATCTGCACAAGACCTGTGACTGAGGAAACAAACTTAGTCCCTCCCCTTTTAACATTGAGTGAACCGGCGCTGCTGTACACTACTTAGTTAATTCTATGACGCTCCCTGGTCTGGATGTTGTTTTTCATCACCCCCATACAATGCATGTTGTATTAGGTGGAACAGAATTTCAATTCCTTGCAAATAATATCTAGACAAAGATTCGCTTTAGAAAAAATGCAAAACATGGTAAAAACTTAAAAATTTGGTGAATTATATTCGCTTCTAAGTAAATCGTCTGTACGTTCAATAGTTTTAATCAATTTTGGTGAAATGATGTCCATAACAAGCAACGAAAAAGCTGTTTTTTTAAATTAAAAATATGATTTCTTTTTATTACAGAGCAGGTGATGAGGGAAACTTTTTCCAATAACCACATAAGTTGGAATGTTTATCTAAACCATAGTAAAGAAGACCCTTCTCCTTTTTTACGGGGAAATTTAATTCGTATTTGATTAAAAAACAAGGAAAGTATAATCATTTACATTTGGCTTTTTTTAGTATACTTTTATAGAATTGTAGTTGGCTACAACAGCCAAAAGTACATAAATAGCTTAACTATCAGCATCTCATGCCGTCTTCCCAGTGTACTTGCGGTGCGGCATCACACTCAGGAGAATAAATTTAAAGAGCCCTCCTTCCCCAGTAGGTCTATGGCTCTGAAGACAATTCTAAGCAAACCTTGCACAAGTAAAAACCACAAGTTCAATGATAAACCTACTATACTGACAACCAATTTGAAAACAATTCAATTTAAAATAAAACTGAAGAAAAGAATGAAAAAGCGAAAGAAAAAAAAAGGAAAGGTTCTGAAGCATTACCATCATTAGCATTAGACCACCCCCACCATCATCAATTATATTAGAGACCATCCTAATAAAACATTTTACCCTGTCCAATATAATTTATATATTACTAAAGAAGAATATAAAATACTAGCTAAGATTTAATTTACTTTATTGAACTAAAAATTGGAGACTATGCCCTCCAAAAACCCACCAGTCACAAAAATATTTTAGGATAAATTAACAATTATTGAAGTAACAAATATCAGACTGTGCCCTTCAAAGTTTACACACCCTGAGTTCTAGTGCAAACATGATTTAAACATATATTATGAATAACTAAATTAAAACAAATGATTACAAAATAATTTTATTTCAATATGTTAACAATTCATACTGAACACAGAAAGCTTTGAATTCTCATGAAGTGACGGCTCACTGCCCTGAGAAAGCCTGCGAAATGTCAGGCGAAACGTCGGCACCCCAGCCTACGACGAGGCGTCTCCCGGATAGCCGAGAATTCATGGATTTGAGCCGCGGAAGCTTACGTATACACAGAAAGCTTTACCAACCTAAACCGTATCGTAAAAAATATTTTAAGGATAAATTTACAATTACTAAACTAAAAC